ATACATACATACATACATATATATATATATATATATATATATATATATATAAATTTGATTAACTGCCAGAGTTGATGACCTAAACGTATGAAGGAACATAGAGAAAGTTAATGGAATAAATATTTAAGATGTAGCCAAAATAAATCTTTGTATATATTAATTTTACTGGTTATGTTTATTGTGAAAAGTTTATTGAGAAAATCAAATATATAATTTATAGAACAATTAACAGATGTACTATATTTTCTAATCGTGGCGAGATATCTAAGGTAAGTTATATTTTTGAAGCATAAATGTTTCAAAACAATAAATGTAAACTAGAACCCACAGGAAATAACAAGGCGTATAAGAAATAAACAATTAACAAAAACAACTATGAATCTTAACTCACAAAGTTGACAAATGAACTCATTTTTTCTCTACATTTCCGCGATAAAATAGTAGATAAGGCTAAATAATAAACATTGCTTTTGAATATGAATTTCTGTTAAAATGTGTAACAATTTTTGTCTTTTAATAATAATAATAGCACACTTTAGACTTTATTGTGTTTACTCGCGGACCTCCATCTACTATGTATAGTAAATATTTATATGTCAAAATTAAATATAAAATTTCAATTTTATGTTGACATTTACTAAATTGAATATATTTTTATTCATCTGCCTTCCGTTTCGTAAAATCGTTGTTTCTTCTTCAAGACAAACGTGTGAGAACAGTAAAAAAAAAGCTCACTCCTCATTAAAATCCGTGTTTGAAAAAGTTTTTAGTATTTTTATCTTTTTGATTTCTTAACTATGATTATTCGGAAATCGTGAGATGCGGTCTGGTGCGACGTAGGTTTCAGAAAAACATTTTCTTTATCGTGCCAACGTTTCGATCTTTTTCAATTGATTAAGGATTTTAGTTGTGATAAAAAGTCAGTGTCACGAGTGGGATTCGCTTGACATTAAAAGGAGGGAAAATTCAAAAGTTGGGGTTGAGATGGGAAATTGGATCGGGAGTGGATCGAGGTCACGATAGCTCAAATGGTAGAGCAGCGGCGTAACTAGCCGAAGATCGTGGGTTCGAATCCCGCTCGTGACACTGACTTTTTTATCTCAACTAACAACCGTAATTACTTGAAAGATATTAATTGGTCAAGCGGACCTCGAAAACTAGTGAGTTTCGATCTTTATTGAGATAATCTTCAGATCAGAGCCTGGGATTTACAATCATTGTTTAAATTTAACGAATACATATGGGATGTAGTAAAAAGTGAATTTATACAATACAAAAAAATATTTTATTACATTCAATAAAAGTATTTCTATACACACATTAAATTCTTAACAATGAAATAATAAAATACGCCTATTAAAAACTGACTTAAAATTGAAAAAAAAATAGAAACGAAAAAACAACGTGGATTAGTAGTGAATGTAATATATTATTATCGATTTTTAGTTTTTTAACGAATGTATTTATATGCATACATCCATATCCCTCCCGTGGAATATCGAGTACTTTGTGGCAGTTTGAATAATTTGTGGTGTGTATGAAAGTAATTTATTAGCGTAAATGGCAGGGTTTTTCCCAATTACCATGAAAAATGTTGAGTAGTGGCAATGAACGTGCCAATGTAATTTATTAGTTGGAATGGATGGGTTTATCACAATACGCCCAGGAAATCGAATACTCTGGGGTAGGGAGAATGAATGTGTTAATGTAATTTATTAGTGTGAAGGTAGAGGCGTACCCCCCAAAATAGATCGAAGAATATCAAGCACTCTGGGGTAGTGAGCACAAAGTCAGTTGTGTGAATGTAATTGATAAGCGTAAATAGAGGGGCATATCCCCAATTACCCCAAGGAACATCAAATATTCAGGGGTAGTGTGAACGCTAACCATACTGTTATCTTTTTATCTTTTTTTTTGTGCATTGGGTATTTATGTGGTGCTTACAATTGACATGCCCCTGAGGTACAGAGAGGGTAGCAATAAGATGAAAAAAAGAGAGTTGGATACCGTCATAACGTAAAACATCAAATATGAATTCAAACCTAGAGAAGAAATGGCTCAAATAAATTTTCCGGTATGTAAATTTGATAACAAATGTTTTAAAATGTGTTTGACAAGTTGTGATTTTCAAATATAAAAGCAGAGTTTTAAACCAATGCGAAAAGGATTACGAGTTATGATAGGTAAATTGTCGTTAATATAAAAGAGGTAATAAATAATGAAGGAATTATAAATAATTTTCCCCGATATTTTATACATCTGGGTAATGAGGCAGGAGGGCGGATCTGGCGTTGACAGGCCCCAACCAATCTTGGCAAATCCCACTTCTTCGAATTCCTCCCTGGCCGGCCGTGAAATATTTATATATGCAGGACTAGACAAAAAGCGACTTCTGTCCCGGGCACATTTCAATTTTTTTAATCGTAATTAATCACTGTTGAACTTACGTGAGCAGTATCGTGGCTCGTCGGACTTGTCCTTGCAGTCGTAGGAACCGTCGCAGAACCTGTCCAAGGCGACGCACTGTCCCGTGTCGCAGAAAAACTCGGAAACGCGGCACGTCGGCTGGGACAGGGCCGTGATCCGAGGAATCGTCAGCAGCACGAGTGGCAGCCAAGCCCCGATCTCAAACATACTCTTCACCACCTGCAACATAAATAAAATCACTTTTATATTTTTGTTTGTTAATAACATTTAAATCATTTTGAAGTTTATTCTACAATTCAATATTACAACTTAAGGTACAGAAATGAAAAATATTATAATATGAAATCTAGTTAATATTTGACAAATTACATGAAAATAAAAAGTACGTTCAAAACTACTAATGCATTGTCAAAAGATGTTGTATTTTATAATAGTATCTATTAATTTACCGAAAAAAACTAGAATGTTTTTCAAAATAAATAAATAACGATCTCACAATAATCAGTATCACAAAACAAAATAAATGACAGTATGTTACACCCAAAATTATTTCGGGTCAGAGCAAAACTTATCCCGAGTAGGTGGTAAGACTGGAGGGACAATTTACAAAATTAAAAAAACAAAAACAAAGATAAAAGAAATATTAAAGACCAAAGAAATATTAGTGAGTTGGGCGCCACCTCATTTTATGTGTCCAGAGTAATGGGGAACTCCTTTAACTAAAAGTATATTCTTGTTTGTACTCTAAATAAATTTGATAAAAATAAATAAATAAACAAATAAATCAATCAATATATGAGAGGAAAGTAGTATAATATTTTCTATAAAAAAATAAATGTTTTACTTTATTCCATGGTGGACACTCACCACGGGGGGGGGGCACTCCAGGCAAGGCCACTAGGCTTGGGCGGTTTTTTAATTAATAATACAAATTTATCCATCTTATAAACAGGTTACATACCTCCTTACAAGAAAAGGAAGCTGATCGAGGCGAGAAAATAAAAATTTGATTGTGGGGCAAAAAAAACACCACTTTCCTCTCTTACAATCATGAGATTATAAAACCTATTGTTTTGGTCACAAGTATTATATAAAAATGAATATATTGACAAAATCACTCTACAAGACATCAAACATAGACAAAAAAGTAGATCCTAAAACTAATAAACAAAATAAAAATATTGAATCTCTAGACCATGAAAAAAAAGAAAATGCAACAAATAAATAAATAAAAACGATAAAAGATTATTACCATATATGTAAGGAGGATAGAAAATCAAAAAAGAAAAATTTCGACTAGTAGTCAGCACTCACATTGTATTACACATCAAAGATATTAATAAAGCCATTAAACGTCATCGAAAATTTATTAAATTACTGATCAATGATTGTTTATCTTCCTTTCATATAAATATCGCTTTATAATTTTTACTCGCAAAGCAAGGCTAGGGATGTGGGATCACTGATTATAATATAACTTTTATTTTGTCTTTCCATTGGGCCTTAGCAGCGAAAAATATATTAAATACATAGTTCGATAAAATATGTTCTTGTGCCTTTAAATTTATTGTAAGGTTACTATTTTTTATCATCTTGTCATCTAGGATATATAAAAAAAGAAAAGAAAGAAAATGGGTTCCTGATAAAACGAAAAAACAGTAAAGTAAAAAAAAATGGAATGTTTTCGGAAACGTAAAAATCGGGTTTATTTTAAGCACGTATTTGTACTCAATACAATATAAATTATGCTATATTTTGTACAAAAATATTTGTACTCACTCAGTGTTTATTTTCAGCGTAATTGTGTCTTCTTGTGCGTCGTGTTGAGAATGCCAGAGAGATATTTTTTTAAATTTTTAAATAACGATTTATCATAATTTATTTGGGTATAAAATTAGATTTTGAAAAAAGATTCATTGCTGTGAAATAAAAGCTTTGCTACCAGTTTTTCCCACCTTTTCTTCGCCTATGTCCAACCAGCGGAGGTGGAATTAGAAAGTAAAGTGTAAAGTAAAAGATTAAAAGAAAACAAAGAAAATGGAAAATTAATCTTCGGTTAAAAATAAATTATAATTAAAATTTAAATATTAATAATCCTTCCGCCAATTAAACAAACAATATTAGCTAAATTAAAAATATTTCTTTCCCCTCACTTAAATTTTATTCTCTAAATCTCATTAACTTGGTTTACGGACAGATTTACGTCTCAAACGCACCCGACTTCGGCCGCCACCACTTACTCCTTCCGGGATCCTTCCGGTTGGAAAGGGTTTCAACTTCCTCCTTGACTCGCTGTCAACCCAGGATCGTGACAACTGTGAGAAGTGTACTCTGTGCACGCGTTTATGTATGCATATGCGTGCACAGATTTGAGCCTATATAAATCAGTCATCATTCATTCATAAGGCTTTTGGCTGAAGTATGCACTTGGTGAGGTAACAAAACGTATAAATAAAAAAAAACAACAGAAAACAGCTGAAAGTAAATCAAATAAATAAAATAAAAATATCCCCTATCACGTATGTTTTTAAACTTAAGGCAATTAATATATATTAATATATACACATGCATTTTAAGAAGGGTTTGGAAGATAATTTTTTAAATAATTTAAAAACAGAAAATTAAGCAACATTAAATGTAAAGAAGTGTTTATTCAATAATAATTAGATATTAATGAATTTTACATAACTTAGAATAGGCTAAACCTGTATAACTTCTGTGTCTTGCCGAACTGTTGATCCATTTTATTTATGTAAAAAAAATTAATCATTTAATTTGCATTCTTACTTACTAGCACATTTTACAAATGTGAATACAAACAGTTTTTCACACGATCGCAGCACTAACGCTAATGCCAACCCTACTCCTGGAGGTCATTCCAAGAAAAACCAGCCAATGTGAGGGGTTAATGGACAAGGAAGTTTCGAGGCCGTTTCCGATTAAAGGTCGATTCATATCTACTAGCACAGAGCGTATCCAGCACAAAGCGTGGCAGACACAAAAAACATCATTACATACAAAACATATAGGAACGTTCATACTTAGCGAACGTTTGCGGAGCGTGTCAGTCACGCACCGGGCAGCATTGTCGCCGAGAATGTTTTGCTTGTGCTGGCACGTGTCTGCGGTTGTCTTTTCTTCTCTGTGCGGTTCAATACGGTTAGTATGAATACACGACAGACAAGATTCGTGCAATTCCAACAGCTTAGGTGCCTACCTATAATACATTGCATTATAATTTTAATTATAATGTCCAGTCTTGGTAAACCGAACTTGCTAAAATCCAAATCGCCGATCAGTACATATTCAAGATGTTTTTTGAAAAGTTTATTTTACAAAATCTGTATAATAATAATAATAATAATAATAATAATATAATAATAGCGGTCCTAGAAGTATTCGTTTTTGTCCATATATTCTGTTAAAATGTTGCCTCCTAAGTCTTGTGTGGAGAGTCTGTGTCAGTCTGCTGTACAATCATAGTATAATCAGATTTGAATTGAATTAACATTTGTATGTCTTTGCGGAGGGCAAGGCTATTTTGAAAATCCTAATCCCTGCGAGTGCAGTCTTTTTCATTCCGCTTCCCCGATTAAGTCGAATTATTAAAAATTCCCTTACGTCTATTTATAATAAATATGTTGTTATTGGAATAATGGGGGGTCTGTATGAAATATTTATTCTCACTTGTTAACAGAAACTCCTTTTTTTTATAGCCAGAACGTTGATTAAAGCAGTTCACAAGATATTATATATATATATGTCCAATAGTGAAAAAATATTCATGTGGAGTCCTTTAGAAAATAGTCAAAACTTGGATTTGACCTCACTGGCGTGATTCTAGCGTTGTAGAACTCTTAGATACCAACTTTCGCAGAAATCCGTGTAAATTAATTTTTTTGGCGGATAATTTCAACGTGACTGACATTCCTAGTACATGCTCTTAAAATCAATACCTAGGAGACCGATTTTGTTGGTTGATAATTGGTTTTAAACAAAAAGTATCAAAAGAATTTGATAACTGTATCAAATATTAAATTCGGATTATTATTTCCATTTAAAAAACGAGGTAAATTTCTGACAGAAAATTATCTTATTTTATGTATATTCTTATAGAAATCTTTTATTCATTTTTATTATCCATACGTCGTTAAAAACCTACGTCTTTTCTTTCAAATGGAATGATAGATGACAAAATCGTTGTAGAGTTTTTTGAATTATAGACGTTTTAGTTAGATATTCTGATAATAATTTCTTAAAAATCGGATAAATTTTACGGATCGAAAAATCGATAAATTTAAATTAAAACAAAACTTTACATTTTGGTTCTCTTGCGGCACTACCACGAAATTTCATATTCGTTTCATCAAAAAAAATGATGACTTAGTTTACTTGAAAAATATTTGTTTTTAGAACGTTTTGTTTATTGATAAACTTTGATAGCTTTTACTATACGTTTATTTCAATCTACATAAAAAATGCTGTAAAATGATATATTCACATATTTGATTTGAGTAAGTAGAAAGGCGTGATAAAAGTATTAAAAAACGGAAAATTTAATTTCAGCTTTATTTTGCGAAACCAGGGCCTCTTCACAAGAAGTGGCGAATATTTTTGTCCGATATTTGGGAGTATAGAATTACCAATAAATGTTTGGTCCAAATCCGTAGCCCACCAACCTGGTCGTTCCCTTGTGAGTTTGAAGTGTACTGCGCGTTTCGGAATTAATATGTTCACACGTTCGGTCCGGTACGGTCGTCATAGTTACTCGGAAGGGGTTATGTTTCAGTTAATTATAAATGATATTTTCCGGGTGGCGGTTCATTTTTTAAAAAGCCTTCGTGAAACTCCAATTACTCGCAATCTACTGATCACTTTCGGTAATTGTGAAAGTTCGTGGAGAATCTGATCTGGGAGGCTCACGCCAAACTCCGTTTTAAATAATCAACCGAGAAGGTTGTTCACTTTTAGGGAATTTCGAAGAAGGGAAAGAATTTTTCTTTCGCTCGACGGGAATGAAGTATATAAAAAAGACCAACAATAACATCTATTGACCAAATTCTGTTCCACTTCACCAACTGGGAAGTTTGCCGTGGTAAAGATATTACTAAACTTTGCCTGCTTTATTTTAACTGGTATCATCCATATTCCATTACCACCACTTGTTAAACTTCAGAGTTGTTTTAAAAAAATTAAATTGACACTTGCACATTTCGCTC